TATAGTAATGCATATGTGCTTTTTATTCTTGCCCCTTCAAACAGAAACAGAACTTTTCATATGCTTTACCTTTTAATTATTAAAGGTGAATACTAACTAATATATTAAGAGATGGTGATCATGTGGCAATCATAATGTTATGTCATCTTCAATTTGATAATATTCATAGTCACATCTAGATAACATAATGAAGTCCTCCAAATGTCATTCCTTATTTGGTGACTCCATCTAAATTAGAGGAATTGAATTCAAATCAATTCTTATGAGTCCCGTTTAAAAATATAATTTATATAACACGCCAAATGACGGTGAAGATATTAATTCAATTTAATTGGAATAGGGCAATCTGATCTACCAAACAAGGCCAAAGTAACATTATATTGAAGAAATGACAAATAGCATAATGAAGTCACAAAACACTTTCGGTGGACATTCATGATGTATTTGGGAATGGGAAGAATTATGAAGTGTTTGCTTTCTCTGCTGAGAGACAGTAAAAGAAGCTATCTACAATGCATAATTGGTCATCGAAAACTTGGAAAATTTTAACCCAATTGATCAGCTTGAAAAGTTTATAACTTTGATCTTTAAATTTAATTTAGGGTTTTGCGCAGTTTTTGCCCCCGGAACTATTTCCGTATTGTCAATTTAGCCCCTTAATAATTTTTTCGGCAAATTAACAATTCCAATTGTTTAAAAATTGCCAATTAAGGACCCACCGTCAATTTTTTAAAATTCTATCCAAATATTCCCACAATGTATCCATCACTTGGCATTCAATTGGAGGTGTCAAACAAGCCTCATACCCTGAAATTCTTTCTGCGCTTCGTCGCAATTAAGGCTCTTATTTCGACGCCAATAACAATTGCGTCGTCTTACTTTTATGGGAAGTTGGTTGCGAGATCAGCATCGTTGGCGTTGATTGCTGAGGAGGTGGATTGTCTTGATGTGGTTCCAAAAGTAAAAGTCGTATAATATCAAGGATCGAAAATGTTAAACTTATAAACCATCTTAATAATTACGGCTACTTGAATCTCACTGAATATCCAAATAATATTTACTGTCAAAGTATTTATATATATATAATGCAGTTTGCACAATTCAGATGATATTATCTTTTACAAAGGATTGAACACGTTCCATTTAATAGGCCAACCTCATAGTAGTGGGAAAAATAAAAACAAAGAAAAGGTATCAATGTCCATGCAAAGATTACCTCCATTCTTAAACTAGAACCTGCATGAAGAAGATCAATTGGTGCCACTATTGCGCTTCAATGCTTAAATATGAATATTTGCCTTCCATCAGTCCTAACCACCGTACTTCTGCTGGATGGCTCTCATCAATTTCGGTGTTATACTATCACCATGTTATCTTTGCTTTTGCCATGGTTCATATAAGTCAGTTTTTTAACTTTGGAATTTCATGACTTGCACACAGAATCATCATCAATGCTACATGTACCACTGTAACCAAGGTCATCATCAACTGCTCCAGAGTCTTCGGTATCTGATTGGGATTCCTCCACTTTCTTTTCAAAAGAATTAATACGCACACGATTTGTGGATGATGAAATCTTTTCAAATAATGTAATATCACTTGAAAGAGTTGAACCAATTAAAGACTCTAGTTCCTCTATTCCACTAGAAAGGTTCAATTCATAAATCTGCAAAACAAAAACAAAGTCCATCACTAATTCAAGTGTAATATCACATGAGAGATTATGATAACAATATTTTCAAGAAAATTACCTGCAATGACTTCGCCAACTCAGAAACTTTCAACCCATGAATTCCTTGCTCTAGTGGAACTCTAAACAATTCACCCTTCAAAGTACCAGGATGTAAACCGTACTTCACCATAAGGCTCATTTCCGAGATAACAAAAGATTCAATTTGAAAAACCAAATTTCACATTTATAGATAGGTTTATGCAACAATAGATAAAGCTTCTTAATTGTAGAACATAAATAAAACCACCATAAGAAAGTAAATAAAGGCTCCTGCGCATGTCTAGTCATTAAAGCAAATAATTCCAGAGACAAGCGGAGATAAATAAACATATGCTCAACATATGTTATTTAGGAATGCACGATAATGCCAACAAACAAAACTGAAGAAACTATTTCCTTTAACATTCAATCACTACATGTTATATGTAAAACCTAAAATTTCTGATTTTGGTCGTTAAGTATGGAAAATGAATCTATCCAACTAGGCTCTGCCTCAAGGTAGAAACAAATTATTCGGGGTAATGACATATCTTAAATGACTAGTGCCAATAAGGCTTTGAAAATGCTCAAGGTTTTGGGTGATGAACTTGCAGAATACAGATGTGTTGATAATTAAATACATTTACTAGAGAGGAAATGGAGCTTAGAAAAATCAATTGCAACTATGGGAGTTAAATTAGAAGACCTAGCTATGGGCATCCCTTCGCCTTGCACCTTGCTTTGAACCAAAACCAGCGGCAACCAGTACTTGACACAGTATTTCTGTCCTTGTTAAAGGGTTTAGCAATCCCTGCCAAATCATTTGATAAAGATGCTTAGTTATTGAGTACTTCCATTCAATTTTTTCATAAAAATATGAAATAACAATTGATTTAAGAGATGAGCAAAAAAGTCTCCAATGTTTGACAACAATAAGTATCTCTAATCAACTATACCACAAAAAGCAAGTGGATCTTCTAAAAGTGCATATGGATGGACTACTAATAGTCTGATTATGATTTTGTTCAGAAAATTTCTTGTCGCCTAAGCGTATCTATCAGACATTCTGGACTGGACACCTTTTTTGCAGTCACACCAAACTTTTGATTATTAGCTGATATCCTCTTTCCTATATTCTTTAAATTTTTTTGATATCATATTGCTACTTTCAGCGGTATTTAACTTCCCTGTAAAGAAAAATGTCAACAGTCTTATAGATTGCGTTCTCTTTTTGGTACCAACAAAGTTCCAAACATATGAGCCTTTAGAAAACAGCTCTGACATATATGTACCCAAATGAAATGGTCAATATGACTACACAACATTATCATAAGTTAAATGAACTGTAAATGTATGTGATCTGCACAATTACATGTTGTTTGTTCATAACTCACCGAGTGAATAAATGCAAGAAAATTGCATGATTTGCTCAAATGAGGTATAGATCCACAGCCAAGCTCGGCTTCAACATTAGATAGAAGAAGCTTCAGAAGGGTCACATGAATTTTTCCAAGTAGCAAGGAATCCTAAAAGGCATTTTACGAAACAACGATGTTGAGCAAGTAGAGGACACAATAAATCCGATGTTGGATCAAAGATAAGATATAACCTTGTCCTGAAATGCTTGGGCAAACTCATCAATAGTGAAGGAGCTTATATCTACCATAACGGCATATGTATAAAGGAAATGGAAAACCTGCCCAAGAAAGTCAACCTAGAATATATTTGAGTACGATAACTAAACAAAATGTAGCAATCTGAATTGATGACCTCAGACACATTTGTTAATTAACCCAACAACAAAAAAACTGCAGCAATCTACAGTGGTGCTTTAACACTGCACATCTTTTCACTCGCCAGTTTCCATAAGGAATCATAAAGTTGACTACACTCGGTACGAACT